GGTTATATGTGACATCCGGCCTGCTCGCAGGTCTAGCTTCCTGGCTTCGGGCGAGACCGTCCGTAGAGTCGCGTCTGTCCGGACGCCAATACGTCGTGGCCTTTCCAAGCAACCACGCTCGTGCGCGTTGCTCCTGACCAGCGTACCACGCGTCTTGTGCATTGTCCTAGAAGATATTGACAAATGGTCGAAGAAACCTGAGGCCAAGCAGTCATTCATCTTCGCCATGCGCTCCGGCAATAAACTCCCCGTAAAGGGCGAGAAGGTTCTGGGGAAGTGCAGGATGGAGAGGGAACAGCGGAAACTGGTTCTGCAGACGGTGAGTGTACAGGCAGTGAATCAATCTGCTGGTGGACGCGGGCTGAAGATGGTGCAGGACGAGAAGGAATTTGTGTACGACTTTTCTGACGACAAGGCACTCACGACGTGGGCTCAAGAGTTAATCGTCCTCCTAGAGAACCAATGACCGAACCGCTACTTAGACTTTGGGACTCTAGAGCAAAGCAGACCGCCCCAGCTGGGACGCAAAGCGCACAGGTAAATTGTCACATAACTTATGACCGGCAGACCCGCTCGCCGGAACGTGGACGTTGTACGAGTGCCGTGTACTAGCCTGTGTACACCAAAGCTACAATGACAGGATCGTGTGCTGGGTGCTGGGTGGCGGGGGCTGAGACAATGCGATATCGCCGCGATTGATTGCGAGTATCCCGAAACGAACCTGATATTGTAAGTGAGCAGTTTGGGTCCTAAGCTACTGTACCCAACATGCTGCTGATCATATGATGCGTAATCCTTTCCACAAAGGGCTCTTCATGTACGATTAGGTGCTATGAGTGCGATCAGGTACTACGCGTACGATCAGGACCCCTGCGGTCTGCGGTAGGTTTCCCTGTTGAGGGTAGTTATCAACTGAGCTCGCGAAGTGTCATCTGTTTAGCTGTTTATTCAGATGCCAGCGAGTGAGCCGCTCCTTCCCGAGAGCATCTCCCTGCTACATGATCAGTCCAAGACTTCCGAGGTATTTGTAGTAACGCTGGATACTCGTCTGCGATGCAGCAGGGCTCCAGACCTGTGACGAGATGTGGCCTGTTTATAGCGGCCGTGTACACGCTGGTGAGAAACAAATCAGCGCGTTCAACACTGAATTATCCAAGGCGCTGGCGACCGGAACTCATATGCTTCATGCGTCGGCGACCGTGGTATGATACCTCGCTCCATCTGGACACTACAAATCATTTGGCTATCCCACTAGTAGCGCGGGCTAGCAAGCCACACTCCGAGTCCACCCGAGCTCTACCGGACGACGTTCCCATATAGTACTACTTCATCTGCCAGTCGGTTCAGCCGTTACGATGAGGAGCGAAACTGTGAAGACAAAGGAGGTTGGTCTCTCGATAGACATGCCCAGGGGCAATATTCAAGTTGTCCGTCTCATTGACTTGTGTCTCCCGCCTTGCAGCCGGAACCACCGAATGGACAGCAGGCGACTGCGGGTCGAACCAAAAAAGGAACCGAGTTGTCACGTACTCGAGCTGTCCGCAGCGGGCGTTGATCGTGATGCTATCAAACTTGGAGTCATGAGCAAAGCATCCCACAGAAGAGCCAGTCCTGCACCTGGCGTGCCACGGTCCGAAGTGACTGCAAGTGTGCTTACGGCACCGACTGGCAGTACGCGTGAGGAGGCTGAGCAGTCCGAAGGCATTAACGCCTACTCGACCTAGTATCAACGGAAGAGCTTGCTCCATTTTATGCCTCTATGCTGGTGCCTGTGTATCAACAGATGGAACGATGCCACGACGGGACCGAAGCTACCGAGGATCCAGGAGAGGGATCATGTATCGGAGCACTGCCAAATGTGGACCGTACGCGGCTGACTAGGTAAGTTGCTAATGTATGAGGCTCCAATTTTCTAGTTTGGGTTTGTAAAGATGTCTCTGCTAATATGCTTTTCAGATGCTGTTGTGGGTACATGAGTGTTTGGTGGCACATCACTCCCTGAATATCGCCGTAGTCAGGTTTCCTGTCTGGCGCGATGGCCAGCATCTATCTCACGGAACGGTTCGGATTTGGGAAGATATTATCGTAGCTGCACCTACTGCGGGAGGCATTTGAAGACGGTCTTTCAACAAGAGCGCTACTCCAGATTGGGGCATACGCAATGCTGGTCCCCGCCGGGCCATTCCCGGTCATATGCATCGTCTATTGCATCATAGGCTTCACCCTGGCCATCCAAGCTGCTCAAACCACAGTTTTTGTGGTAAGCTTGAAGAAAAATTCGCGGCCAAGATGGAGCTCCTGCATGGCATATACGGTAAAGTTCCCATCCCTCATGCAGGAGGCGGGTGCGGATGCTCACCACTCCTGGGTTTGGGACACAGGCTTGGGCGCGCTTGTATCACCTCTCGTAGCGACACAATCTTCCGGAAGTCCCCGCTTCTGGTCGCATCACTTCATTACTTCCGTTGGCCTGGCCTGCACGCGCCATCAACGCTGCAGTTCTCTGAGCTGTGCTATGTGGCCGCAGACAAGAGAGAGAGAGAGAGAAGATTGCCTCAGCGAAATCATGATATAGCTAGAACCTGTGTTGCCTCTCAGTCACATGGAAGACGAAGGAGAGACAGGCAACGATGCTGACGACAGCCGCTCCGATAAATTCATGTACATGATGCGTCTCAAGGGAGTGCACTTCCTCTCATTCTTCGCGTTGATCTGTGTCGGGGTGGAGGCTATGCTGGGCGGTATAGACCGTTTGCAGTCGCCCTTGCGAGCCAATTGCGGCTGACATACCAGCCGGATAAGGTTGGAGCGTCACATACATCTTGGAGAAGCGCGGCGGTAGCCTGAACCCTGGCGTGATATCCTCCGGTTTTTTCGGAGTTTCAAGCTGCCGTCCGCATGTTTGTGCTACAGAAAGGTATTCATTCTCCATACAGGTATCATACTTGGTCGCGTCCTCCTATTGTGGCTAAACAAAAAGTTCAGCAATTTTGACTGCCAGCCATAGTCATCCAACGCACGACTTGCTGCAGCTTGGAGATCGCCGAGCTCTCTTCCTCTGGGAACGCTGCCCCATGGTTTGTTTGCTTAGCTTAGTTGGACGTCTCACTCCGGTGTTACCTCATAGCTTGGAAGGGACCATCTGTCTCATACCCTCATTGATCGAGAACGCTGTAGCTGTATCCGTCGTGGGCCTTCTTCTGGGACCCATGTTCCCCATTCTGACGAATCTGCCGAAGTGGCTGATGACGGGCTGTGCGTATAACATCGCAGGAGTAGGTCAGGCTAGCTCGGCAGTCTTGCCGTTCCTGACTGGTGTGCTCGCGTCGAAGTTCGAGCCTTCGTAAGCTGCTGGTTCATGAGGTACTCGATCCCGCCAGGAGACTGATATCGGTTTGCGGCGTGGTGTCGATTGCTGTCGACACTTATTAATCTGTGAGCAGTGATTCCTCCCGCGCGTTACGTGCCCACGTGAGGGTCCCCATCGGATGTCCGACAGCTTCGCTTTGGAAGGGAGTCTTCACAGCGGAGATACTGCGTGTGCTTCGTTTCCAGGATAGAATATCCAATATAGTCTAAAGCACTATCCGTCCAAATGTGTCTATCCCGAATAAGCCCTCCCATGCCGGTGTAAATGTCAGACATTTCACTTTACCGTCTCACGCCCCCCTGCGAGCGGCCAGTCTCGCACTCGACCGTGCACGCTGTCTCGTCTTTTGTTGCTCCTTCAGCCGCTTTTTCTCCTGCGTCGAGCTGATAGAACCGCCCTCCCGTTCCTCCTCAACCGCAGCCTCTTCAAATTTGTCGATGCATTCCTCCATCTTTGTTTGGATCGTCGCCTCGTTGTATCTGCCAGCTTGCGCAGCATCAACGCTCCATTCCAAATCGAAGCCCCATCCGCGGCGGAACGTCTCCATTCCTGAAGCTGCTGAGTAATCGGGAAGTGCCGGCGCGGACGCAGACGCGAGCCCACCCTCTTCTCGCCACCACCTGATGAACCATACCGCGGCGCGCGAGGAGTCAGGAACACCACCACGCTTGAGCATGCATAATCGCTTCGCGAGCAAGTTCAGGAATTCGTGCACGTCGAGGAGTGGGGGTGTGCCGGAGGGCAGGAGCTTCAGATACGCTGGGGCTGCGAGAGTTCGGATAGAAGGCGTCCGTAAGCGTCAATCTCCTCCGCGCTTCTACGGCAGAATAGGAGAACCAGAGCATGAGGCCGTTCACTCACAGACAGGGTCCAGCACGTTCAGCCGGTACAACAAATACGACGCGAGCGCTTCAGTGTCGTACAAGCCCTCCTTTATCCCGGCTGTCACCGTCCCGCGGATGAGGTAGGCAGTACGTCAGCGCACCGAACTCCGCTGCAGCGGCGATAGTCCACTGACCGATGAGTGCTAGCTTCACCCCTCGCTCTGCTCCCGTCATGTCCCGGCCCAAAAATGGGAGCATCACTCCGGGCGAGTCGTACGCGTACACGAGCGGTTCCACTGACAGCTTGAGCCGAGTTGAGAGCACACGAGTCATCCCCGGGTGCGCAGACGTCCGCAGCGCTTTAGGCGTCGCTGCGAATCTGCCTGCCTCAGCGCCCAAAGCTCGATGAACTGAGGACCCGACTCACGTCCTGCTATTCCGATGTTCCTGAGCGCATTCAGCAACGTCGACTTGCCCACATTGGGCATCCCGACAACCAGCACGTTGAGCTCCGATCTGTACGGATGTTCCTTCGCTACATCTGGGAACCACATATAAGCCGGCAAGCCCAGGCACTGGACGGAGACCGAGACATACTGACTAGGAGCTCGCTCAGTGCCTTGATATCACGTGTGCGGTTCCACGAAGCGAAGAAATGTTGTTGGTCGCGGTACTTGTTGGCCAACGCCCGCTGGAAAGGCTGCGCCAGGTGGTGCGTTAGAGATTCCGCGGCAGATACAGTAGAGATGCACACCTTGATCCCCCATTCCGGCACCAGGTCTCGCTTGCTGAAAACCACTACCCGCTCGCAGATAGGTCCATTACTCGGGCCGGCAGTCGGCGTATCCAGAGACGAGCTGGCAGTCGATGGTCCATGTCCGCGTTCCCGTCTCCATTTTTGCAGTGCACCTATAGCACATGGGTCAGCGATCATCCAGGCATTGCGACAATGAAGCAGAATAAAGCAATAGGTCCACAAAGGAACACCTTCCATGAGGGATCACCCACACGGGTCCGTGGAATGGTAATTTGATGGCAGCCGGTTGCCATGCCTACGGCATAGAGACAAAGTCACGTCGCACGACGTGGGAGTTGACGGCAGAAAGCGCAAACCGCGAGTAGAAAGCGTGAGCAAGGCGAGGCTTCATAGCAACCAGCTGACGGTAACTGAAGCGCCCTGGGATGAAAAATTTGAAGCCAACTATCGTGCTTTGATACTACTATCAGCTGTGAAACGAGATGATCATCAACCCGTGCCTGCAATCAAGGCGGCCGCGCTGAACAACGATCGAGGAGGCTAGTCCACCATGAACCATTTGTTCGATCGCACCATGCCACCGGCAGGAGAATATCCCACTGGCAGAGATGCGCTCCTCTTAACGGCGGAAATTATGGCCGTATGGAAGGACGATCAATGAATTTGGCGGGGCAGTGACTGCCACTACCAAGACTTAGGAGAATGTGCTTGCCAGGGACCTTTCGGTACCGGTGGGGGCGTCTGCGACCCCATAACACAGCCAGTGCTAGCACATGCCAGAATGGACGCAACTTGCACCATTCTTAGACTGGAAAGGCGTGGCATGATACAGCGGATCCCAGTCCGTCTGAGTTATCCGTGTGGACTATCCAGGGATCTGTACACCCTCTGCCCAAAGAAGTCCGGCGTTAACACTGCATGATCCTGGGGCTGACATCCGTTCAAACGCTTGCACCATCCTGTGCTTGGTTGCCGGCACTGCCTGCCTGTCGACGGGGGATCTGTGGTTACAGCTCCCGCACATGGCAGCGACAATCCAACATGATGACTGAAGGCCGTAACACTACAGGTGCTTGATGAATATGCGGCCGTTGAATACTGTCTTTAGCCTCATGTCCGTCAGCACGCGACTGTCAAAGAAGCAGTGGCGACGGCAGCTACACCACCAAGCATCTATAGTATACGATGATCTTGCGGGAACTCGGCGTTGCGCGCTCGGCTGCGACTCTGTAGTAGAGCGCCGACACGTCTGGTCCGGTGCTAGTATTGCCTAGCGGGCCAAACAAACATTATCCGACGGCGGTGATCCAGCCGCCTAGACCCGGAGGGAAGCGCATTGCCCGACAGCCGTGAAATCATGCCGTGGATATTTGCCCAGTCATCCACCACGCCATTACGGTCGTCAAACTATTCACGTCGCGCAGTGAAGGCACTTTGTCGAGATACGTGTGGGTGACTTCGTATCTCGGCGGAGCCGCCAAAATTAATTTTAAACCGTCTCACCCCACACGATACACGTCAGGGCGGTGAAAACGAGCATGGCCGATAAAGCGCCTCAATTGAGGCGCACTGCGTGCGCGCAGCACAGCAGCGCGGGGGCACCATGTGCTGAGCGCCACAGCCAACAAATCCCGCCCCGCCGAGTCATGTCTCAACTCCGGAGTCCGTCCTGCCCCGCGCGACTATGTCATTCAGGCCGCAGCCGATTCATTGCCTCCATGCCGGACTCTCAAAAACATGCAAACACAGACGAAAGCAACCGAGTAAGAGATGGGCACATACCTTCGAAGTTGCGATTGATGCTCGTGAGCGGGAGACGCGAGTCTCGTAGCTCCAGCACGACATCCGTCTTGTTGAGCAGCGCTGGGAGCATCTTTTGGAACTGGAGCATGTGTCCGGGAAACCATGACGGAGGGACCGGTAGCGCGGGGAACGGAATGTGCGTCAGCATCCTTGGATCGACGGGTTCCTAACGAAAGTGAGGGCGTCGGAGATCTTGCCTCAGGCAATGTATTTTGTGCACAGATGCCAAGATAAGAAGACAAGCTAGGACAACCAGCCAGCAGGCAAGACCCACGGGCGACGACGTCAGAGCAAGGAGTCCGAAGTACAAAGTACCAATGGTGGCGGTGAAGACGGAAGAAAGTGTGGCGGGGCGCCCGCTCGCACCACACCGCTCCTTCCTAATTGGGCATGGGCGCCCCACCGTGACGAGCTCCAAATACGGGCGTCACACAAGGAACGTCACCACCGACACCGTCGGGACTCGTGCAGCGGTTCTCTCATGGCATTCAGTTCGGATATCATCCGTAGAAGACGTGTCGTTGCGGGTGTGTAGATGAGTGGCAATGCGGGAGGGACGGCGACATGAGTTCAGGAATGGACCGTAGCATTTATTGATCTAGATTTTGATTTCCTGTTCCTGGGAGCTCCGAGCCAGATGGCTTCCAAGGCCGCCCGTGACGATGACTCGCCATCAAACACTACACTGGAATATCCATAGCCTTTCAAAGGAGTACCGTACGATGGGACGATAAGTGGACATCATACTAGCCTAACGAATGGCATTTGAGACGTGGCCGTGGGAGTGCATTCCGAGAAGCGACATTGCCACTCGATCTAGTGCGTGCAAGACTTCACTCCAGGCCCTGCTCGCAGGAGTGACGCAGTGACCTACAAGTTCCCAACATGCGCGAATCTGACAAGTGGGAATCATTCACTCCTCTACGTATACGTACGTGCACCGGCAAGGCCACTCAGGAACGATCCAGCGGCTGGCCTGTCTCGACAGCCTGTCTACGGACTTGTTCCCAAACCACCTCATCACCGACCACAGTATCAGGGCACGCACGGGCCACGGGGACACGGGCGAGACAGGCACTGCGGCAAGGTGGTCTGTGCGGGAGGAGCGGTCACGACCGCAGCGCGAGGCGTGACGCGCGGTGGCACATGTAATAGCTCCGCGTTCGACAGTGGGCGCCGGCAGCCCGCGCGAGGCGTGCATGCGGAGCTGGAAGCGCAGATTGCCTCCTTCAAGCCAATCTCGGACCTCCGCAGCCGTCTCGCGAAGCTGGCACCGCGCCCGTTTGTCCAGTGCACCCGTCGCGCGCCAGCCAAATGTACATGGATGTCGCCGTTCTGAACATACACAAAATTGAGGACTTCGGCGACGAGCGTTCCGGCGAGTTGTGTATCGCTGCAGGCGCACGTGCGTCTGATCGCGGGGTGTGACAACGATCGAACTGCAGGATCGATCGTTGGGGAGCCGAATGCTCGCCAGTGACGCAGGATTGGTGGCTACCTGTTGGGGCAACAGGCGGTGTGTCTCTTCTCCACGCCAGGGTCGCGTTGGCGGGGAGACCCCGATTTGTTCCGCACACTACTCAGTCAGCATATGCAGAGACGATTGCCATGACAAGCTTGTTGAGCGACAGCGACATATGTATACAAGATCATTCGTGAGCCTGTGTGAAAGAAACCTAGCAGAAAAAACATGTACAACGAGTGACTGGCCATGATCAAGAATCCAACCCAAGGAAAAAGTCACAGTGGCACGCCACAACTAGCGGGAGCAAGGGGGAATAAACGAGCCGTGGAGTATACGCGAGTTCGGTATCGAGATGTGCATGTATATGTCGTGACGACGTAGACGCATGAGACTAGCAGTGGAAACAGAGGACGCACGCATGTTTACGATACGCGAGAGACAGCATTGGCAGTCGACGGAAACCTAAAGCGCGTTCAGACGCGATCGGACCGTTAACAACGGCTGAACACGCACCAGAGTTACACCCACCCATCCCGGCCTGCGCCGATAGCATCAAAGCTTTTCCCGCTTCGTGTCTTCCGCTCCGCCAGCACAGTGACCGAGTCGAGGTTGATGAGCTTGTCGGACGGCGGGGGCGAACCCTCGACCCAGCCCTTCCAACCCTTCCGCGCCGCCGGTCGTTTCTTCCGGGGCCTCTTGTGCATCGACCCGTCGCTCTCCATGCTCTGCTGTCGGCCAGGAAGTTCGTCGTCGTCGTCCGGGGTGAACGGACGCTTGGATGATACGGCGGAGGTGCGAGAGGATACCGATGGCCCGGGGGTGGTGGGAGGGGATGAGGGCATGGGCGGTGGAGAAAAGGACGCAGACCTTTGGAGGTAAGGGATGACGATCTGTGGTCTGGCTTGCCAGAAGGAAGATGTGGTTGCGCGAGGGGCGGCGATCGACGCGCTCTTGAGCGGAGCAATCGCGCTCGAGGTTGCGGGCGTGCCGGATGTTGAGGGGATGGGGGCGGCGACGGCTTCGGGAGCCTTGGAGGCGGCCTTGACGCGTTTTTTCTCTGTCTTCTCCTTCTCCCTCTCTCGCTCTCTCCGCTCCTTCTCCTTCTTCTCGCGCTTCCTCTCCCTGCGCGCGTTGAGCTCCTCCTCGGTTGGTTTGGGCATCGAGACGCCGTTCAAAAGACTAGTGAGGACGTCGCGTTGAGGACGAGGATCAAAATCGCCGGCAAGAACAGAAGTAGCAGTTCGACGCCGTTTGTAGGGATAGGACATGGAGGGGATGGTGGTGGTTGGGGGGAGAGAAGCGGAGCGTGGCTCTCAAGAGATATACCTGTTGTATTCTGTTGCGGCAATATGCGACGCCAATTCGAGCAAATAGGTTACATAATCAAAATAGAACGTTCTTGCCCAATCTGATTCCAATCTTGTACTACGCCGCTTTTGTTCTCTTCTCGCACTTTCCGCCTGCTACCCGACGCCTAGAATCCCTCCGCTCATCGACAGCAGTCGTCCCGCCCCCACCGCCCTACTGACGACAGTAATGATGGACTGCGGGCACTCCTAGGCACTCCTTTGTCTCTGTGCGGATCCCCCACTCCCGGCGCGACTTTGCCATATCTTCCCATCCACCAACAGACGTCAACCCCCTGTCTGTCCTGATCTACCGTCCTCTCGGTAAGTTGGGTGCGAGTTCTTGTTGGAGCTGGGGCCGGTTCATGCCCAGTCAGGCATGCCCTGGTACGCCACGCCACCGTCCTGCAGAAGACGTGCCACGCCATAGGCCAAAATTAAGTTCTGCGTGGGGAACTCGTGCCGGCATCTGATGCCGCGCGCATTTCACCGCCCTCCTCCTCGTCGCCGCGTACCCACAGCATGCCTTATGTGGATGGGGAAGCATGCCGACTAGCCACCGTGCCCCTTCCCAGTTCCACAATCGGCGCCCTACCCTGGACAAAGGCATCTCAATTGTAATCTTTCGCCCGTTCGGAAATCCGCGAGCCGCACGTTTCTTCTTTTGTTGTTGATCATCCTATGATAGATTAGGCTCGAACGGAGCATCGGATGTGGGCCCTGCTCCCACGGCCAGTCGACCCCCTTGTTCGCTGGTTTATCCGACTGGAAAGCCCTTCCCACTCTTCCAGCTCAGCGAAGGCATGATCGAACGGGTGTGTGACTCGGACGCTTTCCATTGCACGCAACGCGTCAGTACACGCGCCCGTGTCGTTACGGACACAACACGTACAAAAGCGAGCTGCTTCCTTCAGTCTCCACTCGTGCAGGACACGACATAGGGGCGTTATCGCGTCGAGTTTTGCCGTCCCAGAGAACATGTCGCCGCAGATGGGTCATTGAGTCTCAGTCATCAGTCCATCATCTGTCTCCCAAGATTGTGGGATGCTCAGGGTCCTCGCAGCACATGACACATCGCAGGGAATTCTCGGTTTTCAATGCACGATATCTACATTTACTTGCACAAACGCGCAACGCCACTGGCCCGTTTGCCGCATTGGAATCATCGCGAAGGTCTGGTCCCTCGCGGTCACCGCCTGCTTCTCACACCCTCTCCGTTCCGAAGGAGCCCCTCAGTAGCGTTTGAACCCTAGGAGGCAGAGCGGGGAAACTACGACCGCCGACGCTAGTTCTGGATCGATACGAAGGCGGCCATTGCCGTAAGGGTCGGGAAGGGGGCCGAGTCGCACGACACAGCCCCGGATTTCGCAGCACACCAGCTCAACACCCCCAAATCCGCTCTTTGGCTGGTCGTTGCCCGCGCGATCCCACAACCGCTCTTGGCTTCACTTCTCCTGCTGCGCCTCGCGACACGCGTCCGCGGGCATCTCAAGAGAGATCTGCAGCAGCGCATTTCCCACCTGTATCTCGCGATAGCGTACGTGCGAGCTGCAGCCGCACATGAGAACGGGGGCTGAATTGACATCTTGCGGAAGTTGGCTTGCCAGTGGCAGCGACGGTCCTTTTGTGGCCGCCGAAGTGGCGTTCGCGGTGTCAAGATCACCTCTTCTACGACTATTACCCCTTCTCCTATGGTAGCATCGCTTATCACGTCAGGACTCAGCTGATGACCAGACTGCCTGTTATGGCAGTCCCGCTTAACGGTGTCATCAGACAGATCGCTGCACCCACAACTCCTCCGTCCAGTTTGCGCCTATCGGCCAAGTCGATCGGCGCACACGTCTCGACAAGGCTTCGAACTCGGCGTTCTCATCAGTGTGGGGAATGCCCTCCGTCGTTCGTTGCGAGCGGGGCAAGTTAGCTGGGATGCGGGAGCGAACTTACCAATATCTGCCGGCTTTTGCATCGACGGCTGTCCTCCGGCTTTCGCCCAGTCTTTCCATGAATCAAACACGCTGTACGTGTCCTACGTACGCTGGCAGAAATGAGCTTCTGGTGTCTGCTCATCGCTCCTGTCGTTGACGTCGCTCGCTACCGCAAAGCACTCTGGCGCCCTGGCGTCTACCGAGTTGCATTGTATTTTTCTATTCCCTACCCTTTCTTTTTCCTCTGTGTCAACGGTCTGTCGCTAGTCCAGATTGAACTCATGTCATATACAGGCGTTTAAATTGGCCCTTCCATTCCTTGACATGGCAACCGGACTGGATCATCCCTCCCGCCTACGGTGAGTACACCAACCACGACCCTCGTCTTCTAGCCGCTTATGGTCTTTGTTCAGGCGCCGACTGATTCAATAGCGACCCAGGTCTTCCCCTGCCTCGACTGGTCGAGAAAATCTTTCAATCCACCCTTCCTCATCTTCAGCCCCATAACTCCTCCCAGTCGCTGCTACTGGGCTCTCGAGGCGGGCGCAGGTTAGGTGACCGTTGTAAAAATACTGGTGTAGAGTCAGCTTAAGCGCTATCATGGCTCTTTGAAATTGACTCTGACGCCACCCTTTTTCGCTCTATAGCATCAATGGCGATGGCGGGCTCGCAGCCTGCGTATGGATCGTTCTGTCCGATTGTGGTGAGGGATCCCTGTCAGGAGCACCGCAGACATTCATTATCCCCTTGGTCAACACCTCGTACCCGTGTGAGGTATGGTAGCTATCGCCGTCTGGCGACCGAGCACACGCTGTCCCAACAGCATCCGGTCTGGCCTCTGCACTGAAGCGCCGCGGGTGCTGACAGATCGGCTTTCACCTCCTTCGTAAGTCCAGACTCATATGACCCATGGCATTGTCTGAAATCTCTGTTCTACCCGTGAGTAGGCGGAGTCCGCTTCGTGGGAGCAGCAATGTCTTCCGTCGTGATCACAGGCAAGTCGTTGGTCCGTTCAGTGTCCGTTCAGCTGTTCTGCATTGCTCACATCCTCGCAGCATCTTGGGATATCATCTTAGCAATCAAGACACTGAGTTGATCTGCAGCTCGCAGTACTAGACTATTTGATACAAGCGCCCGAAGCCCGGACGTCCGTGTCCATGACAAACAGGCTATCGGACCCTCTTGCCATTCCTTACACGCCTTGTGATTTTTATTTCTTCTTCTTCCGCAGTACTCAGCGTACTACGCAATGAATCCTCGCTGATCAATGTGGAGCCTGCCCGCCCACCGATGTTAAATGAAACAGGGAAACGCATACCGACGCTATGTGATTCGTCTTATGCTCCAGACCTGGTATTACGACATTCAAGACCTCACATACGATTTGGTGGCGTACTTAAGGTGTGCCCGAAGGTGCCCTAACTCCAAACCGTTTCGCCCGCTCCAGGGCTGAGTAGAGACAATAACTACCCCTGAAACTATCGCATAACCTCTCCCCCGGAAGCCGGTCCGGACATCTTACACTATCTCGAAGATATGCTCAGTTATTTGCGCGGCAGATCATGTTAGGTGCGTCGTGCCGCGTCTGTTATCATCAGGCTACATAGGCTTTATCACTAACCAGCATGTAGCATCGTCGCCTACGGGGGGACTGTCAATTACCTATCTCTATCGAGGTTAGAGCGGGTCGCTGGCAGTAATCTCGCTGCCCGTCTTTATGGACATATACCGGTATGTTGACCGTGACCGTGACAGCGGTCTCGTACGCTGACTCCTGTGCACTCCTGATACGCTTTCCATCAGGTCCGGCGCGAAAGTATTCGGACTTGTACATTCATATTGCATATGTTTCTGCCTCTGCATATCAACCTGGCCTCCGGCTCAAAGGTATACGTCCGCTCTAATAAGGTTCGATCCGCGCGGGCACCAGCGCTGGTGCTGGGCCGGGGCGCTTCAACTAGCCTCAACGGGGATGGTCAAATTATCATGAAAGTATCCTACCTGCCTCAGTCCCTTTATTTTATTGCCGAGCTCTCTGATGTCTCAAGCACGCAGGCTAGCCAGCAGAACGTCAACCCCTTCGAAGCATTCCGCAGCAGCTATTCTGCTGTCGTCATGTCCCTGGCGCATAAGGACATGGAGGTCGCTTCGAGGGCAGATGTCATCATGCGGGTCGTAGTTCCTGTTGCTTGGCTACCGGAGCTCATGATTCTACTGACCGCGGCGAGTCAACTGAGTTCGCTGACATCGTTATCGGGTCAGATGTAGCAATTGCCCCGTAGAAGAATTGCTGCAAGCTTTCTCCCCTTGGCGGTCTGCGGTGGCAGGAAGTGCTTCTCGTATTGAGTAAGTAAAACACCCGTCGGCCATCGGCACAGCCTCTGTAAGTGAATCAATAGCAAGTTAATGCTTGCGCTTTCTGACTGCCCTGGTGGCGAATACCACCGAATCTCTACGCGACCCTGCCACGCGGTTGGCTCAGGGACCGGTCATATGAAGTGCGCGGTTGACACTCCCACGGTTCGAGCTCATGCAGCGCGGATGAGGCTCAGCGCATAAATATCTTCCTCATGCAACACATGGCTATTCTTCCGTACAGTTCGTCGGAGCGATTATGAAGGTACGGAAAGTTAGACCGTACCATAGCTATGGATGAGAACGCCGCACGTTGAAACACCACAGGGCGCAGGAAAAGCATCGGCGGACTTTCCTGGTCCGCAACAAAGAGTGTCCGATTGCCGTCCTACCCAGATGGCGCCCGATGATCCTGGGCGGTCATTGGCGGGAACGGAGCTTGGAGAAGTCGCCGCGAGCGGCAGGCTGACGAAATTTCTGAAGGTTGGCTTACCGCACCCTTACGTGGTAAGGTTCCTACCGGCACCTTGCTATGGTCTAGTCGCGGCGAATGTCCATTAATATCGCGGAACCTTGTGACCTGCCATTCGAGAGCCCCAGACTTGGGGGAAGGATCCCCTTCCTGTCAGCTGTCGAAGTACGTTTTCAGTGCTAGGGTCCTCTGTGAATCGATCAGACGCTTCAGAATGTTCTGTGGGTAGGTTCAGTTAAGTTCCGCTCGCCGCATTCGCGCCGCAAGGGCGAGTGAAAGAAGATACGCTTCAGGCAATTCGTGTGGAGTGAGATATCGGAGCAATGAACATACTACTTGGGCTCCCACGAGGTGCGCATATTCCCGCTAGCGTCGGGTGCTGTCAGAGTACTCGGCATGGAACCGAACGAAGTCCTGTCAAACCACCAAACTCCGAGAAACTAGACAGAGCGGGCCCCCGCCCATTCAGATCAGCGTTGTGCACACACTGTCCGCTTGTGGTCGGAATTGATGCAACACTATCAGCGTGCCATGGCACTCTGGACTGCGGCAGTTCCTGGGAAATGCACAAAAATTCCCATTAGCCGACTCGAACGACTGACCTCGTCATAGCGTAATGATGCGAATACTAGTGACGCGCTCTACCAACTGAGCTAAACGGGAACTACTTATGTTGTCATTTTGAGGCATATATTGCGCGCGTGTCCGGATCTGGGAGCCGGATACTCGCCGGGACCCGTCGCTTTGACTTCGACTTGCTCCATCCTCTCATCCTGGTTTTCGGGCTCGAGCTGAGGGAACCCATGCATCCCTTCTACTCCCAGGATCCCTCTCGAGATGCTGGAGACATCTTTGGCGGCAGCACTCAGGGCTTGCAGCCTCAGCAGCAGATGAACTTCCAACAACAGCTCGGCAGTCTTCAGCAGCAGGTCAATATGGAAATGCTCGAGAATCTACTGGCGATGCAGGACCCACAGGCGCAGGCGAGCCAGCATCAGGGCCATTCAGCGTCTGGAGCGAATCCTCAGGCGCTGCTGGAGCATCAGCTGAGGTTGAACCAGCTACAGCAGTTACAGCAGTTGCAGAACCAGATCTTCCAGCAACAGGTGCGTTCCTAGTTCTCTCTCTTATATGAAGGTCGGTAGAGGAGTTATGCGAGGGCCCCACCGAACGCAGAGGGTTTCTTAAAGCTGTCGACTGATTCATTTTCTCTAGCTGGAGCTGCTAAGCGGTGGCCAGACTACTTCTTTCTCTTCAACCCATCCCCCTGTCATGGATCGTCAGAGAGACACGAGCCAGTTCGGCCTTCCCACTCCAGGTACGTGCGCCACTGTGCCTTTCAATCGGCTTGTGCTCATTCCCGCACAGTCCAATCTGGTGAACTTCGCGCAATACAAAGCACTGACTTCGTCTCTCCTATGCTTCTCCACTCAAGCGGCAGCAATGGTCTAGGCGAAATGGTGCAAAATACCAACCCACTACCCAACTATATGTCTCAGATTCCACCGCACATGATCCCGTCCGCGCCGCACTCGGCCCCTGCACATCTCGCCTTTCAGAGTCCCGCGTTTCCTGTCCCCTCCCCTGGCGAAATAGATATGAACGATCTTCCGCCCATCTCCAGTCCCATCCTCGGTTCTTATCCGCATACAACAAACGACCTCTCGGTTGGTCCTTCCTCTCAGCCGACGGGTCGTCTACGTAGTTCGCCAGCTGCCGGGGCGAAGCGCCCCAATGCATCCTCCAGCGGCGACGAGTCAAGCTCGACCAGCCGGCCAGCACGCAAGCGACCTCCTCCCGCAGATCGAAATCCTTCTAGTGGCGGTGCGTCCAGTGGGAGAAGGGGCTCCACGCGCGCGACGCGTTCGGCCACAAATACGCCACTTTTCCCCGCGTCGGCGCCAACATCAGTTCGGCCTAGTCCCGTGCACCGCGGTCTGCAGGGGTACGGAGACGTCCCGGGCGACACGCCGTCTCCAGTCGACCCGCCCATGCCGCCTCCCGCGCATCCTCCCCCAGAGCCACCTTTGTCTGCGATATCGGGCCCGTCGTTGTCGCCTACGCCGCCGATACCTACCACGCCTTCGTCTCCTATCAGCGAACCACAGCATGCACGCATCCAACCCGCAACACCGGCCCAGATGTTTAAGCTCGGTAGGTTAGCGGTTGGAAACAATATACCATCGCAGTCGAGCGCCCACGGCGGCAATGGTGTGTCAAAACAAAAAGAGGGAAAGCCTGTAACGCGATCAAGTACAGGCGCCACGTCATCGAAAGCCAAAACCGCGGACAAAGCGGCCGGCACCCAGCTCATCAGCCCCGCGCTGAAGCCTATCCGACCAGGTTTGTGCACACTTTTGGGTATGGTTTTCCTAGTCGGAAGCTGATCCATCACCCTATGCGTCGTCTAGCGGGCGGCGGAGTCGTCACGCCCGTAGCTGCCTCACCAAGCACCCCATTCATGCCCCCGCAGATCCGCAAGTCGTCACACAAGGCCGCAGAGCAGAAGCGGCGCGACTCACTCAAGACCTCGTTCGATGACCTCCGCATCCTCCTCCCGCCTATTCCCCTTCCGTCTGAAGATGGCTATCCAGACGAGCCGATTCTTCCGGGCGCCATGCCTCCCCGCGGCCCACCCAAGGGTAACGTCGAAGGCCCGAACCGTGGCGTGAGCAAGCTGCAGTTGCTCCGGTGCGGCAACGAGTACATCAAAGTACTCAAAAGCCGCGTGGACCGCCGCGACGAGGAGATCGCGCGCCTCCGCGAGGAGATTCGCCGTCTGCGTCTCGTCGTGGGTGACGAGGCGGCCGCGCCGCCCGATGGCCAGGAGATGATTGATCTGGAGCGGGACTTGGACGCTTGTGAGATATCGCAGGGCGCGTTTGCTCGGGCTATTGCGGGTAGCGGCCTGCGGGGGTCCTCGGTCGCTGAAGGCGATATAGACGAGGATGACTAGTATCGTGATGCCGTGGTATCTGATGAGGCTCGCTACTGCGCTTCGAGTCATTAGTATTTCTCTTTGGGCTTTTGGGGTTAGAGTGCGGCTAGAGGTAGATCCTTCCTAAGTGAAGGCACGTATCATGTACGAGTACAGTCAAACAATTGATGACGTCGTGGCCTGAGAGTGAAAAATTCAATGTATGATCTGCCACGCCTCCAGCACGTCTTGTAGCCGAGTCTTTGTGCACATTGACCAGTCGGACGTCCACTGTTTACCATGTAGAGTGCCGGGAGGCGATGCTGAGTTCGAGGCGGCTTGCGATCAACGCAACAAGTCGACGATCACGATCTCATCGGAGATCCGACACAATTGCCTCCGTGAGCCACGTGGCGGCACTTATCATATCAGACGCTCATTTGTACGGCTCTTGCTCCCGCCCGCCACGAGTCCTAAGCCGTCGCTTCTTGGTCTCTTTAGTACCGAAGTCTCCGTCACCATGTCGCAAGCGATTCAGGCCAGACATCCTATGTGAGCACCTTGTTGAGCGTGGCACGAGGAGGGTGTGACCTTATCGCGGCGTCCACAGATCCGTCATATTCCTCTTGCACATCGCGCTCGATGTGCCCATGGCGATTCAGGGTCTCTGGTCGCCTTTGGGACTTCCCTTCCTACAGCTGAACAACACGACAATCGTTTTTATTAAGGTACGCCACCCTGTGCCCCCGGTATCAGAGTTCACGTGCCAAGTTTACCCGGTAGCTCTATGCGGCACTTGTCGCGGGAACGTGCATCGCGTCCCTTCTCTGCTTCAGCCTGCCCGGTGCGTGCACGGTCCTTCTCACTACAGACTTGACATTTACGCGATTGTTGGAGTAGAATTCCTTCCTGGCAAGCGGGCTTTAGCCATCGCGCTGTGTATTTATCACGTTACCTGCTCGACCATCCTCTTTAACGCTCCTCGAATAATCCCCTACTCTTTTGGTGCACTCGCCGAATCGTAAGTATCTGCATAATGCTACTGCCTCTCTTCATGTGACCGACCGTTCAACAGATATAGAGCAACCCCTGAGAACGTGTGGGGCACGCTGCACGGGATCGTCGGTTTGGGCTTCGCTGTCTGGTGGCAGGCGACCGTCCAGATCGCCGCAGTCATGGCGCAGATCCAGAAGGCACAATGACAGGTTAATACTACCGTTAGTTTTTGTGCTTCGAGCCACTCGGGAACATGCCATTCTAACGTATATTGTCTAGCGCAGGAGTTCGTCAGTCTGTTATATCTTGTATTACAGATCTACGGAATGGCACGAGGATATTCAGGTGAATGGCCCGTGTATGAAACGCCTTCGTTGGTTTCGGACTGCCACCAGCTGGCACATCTATTAAGGTAACACATATAAGTCCTACCTCGGAACACCGAGGTCCCCGTTCGCTGGAAGGGTGAGAAGTCCCTCCCACGGGCAGCCTACGTGGGTACGTAGCGCGCACCAGGGACCAGGACCCATGGGACAATAAGTGTCGACATCATCGAGACCACGCTGGGCGACCACGTCAGCCTCCGTTCAGGACAATATCTGGTCGATAACGATTCACTCACAACGCATGAAAAGGCGTGGTGACAAACCTGGACGCAACGAGACCCGCCACAAACGGCGGAACAGCTGACCCGGTTAGGTCTGCCTCAGTCATGTACCCGGTCGATCCGGTCATCAACATACGCGGTAGGATGGTTGGTGTGTGGTTCATGAGGATGGGAAACACCGGGTGTAACACAAACCGACGACCGACACTGCAAGCGCGTTCTCGATCAGAATTGAAATGAGCCAGATGGTAACCGCAAGTCTTGTCACAAGGTCAGCGTGGTGTGTCATAATGACCGGTGCGCCGGCATCCTTACTCACCCGATGGACAGCTGGACATAGAAGCAAACGGCGTTCCGCTCCCCAATTTACATCACAGGGGTAGTGGATAGACAAAATGTTCAGCCACTGACCTTCTTGTTGAGCCAGATGAGCCAAATGCGTCCGACCGTGATTCCTGCGATCCTGTTCGCTTCCCTCTATTCTCTGCCATGCCAACGCGGAGCTTGCTTCGAAGTACTTATAATAACATGGACCTAGCATTCTCCTAGCATCTCACTGAGGCACGCACTGACCTACCTTCCAGTATGACCTTGATACCGACGTAGATCAGCGAGAGGGATGACGAGAAGTGAACTTCCTTGCGGCGCATCACCTGCCACTTGAATTTATCGGAACACGCATCGTCTGCCGCCTCGTCACCCGCCTCGCCTCCATCCCGCATTACAATCGTGGACAACTGTGGAAATGAGTCCGTAAAATTGACGTGTAGCTTCTGAACGGACAAATCACGACTTTGCCTCCTCCCTCGAAACGCTACCCACGGCAACGCCGCATTGGCAAGGTAAAGGCCCGCGGAGATGATTTCATGGAAGGACCATTATCTTGGGCTTTTCACTGACATCGTGGTGCCAGTGGAGCAATCAACGCGCCGGAACCTCAGGCTCCCAGCTTTTCCGCGGAATTCCTTCCAAGAGTCGACACACCAACGGGCTGCGGGGCTTGAACAGGGCTCACGAAGCCCACGAAACCATACGCGACGCGAATGCGTAGGAAGGTTCCGGCGGGTATCATTATAATATATGTGCATGCTTGGAATAACGCTTCTGTGGCACGTCAGACATGACTAGGTCGCTGGTGACTGGATCATGAATGTCTCGTCTCCCAGGAGAGCATGGGCGATACAAGGAATCGGTGAGCAATCCAAGACAGAGCGAATGATTCACAAGCTGCGCACCGTCCAGAAATCACACCGATCTGTCAGATACACGTTGGTCAAGGCGCCCGATATAAAGCCCCTTGCGGACTGGGAGGGAAAGAATACAAGCACGCAGATCCTACGGCAAGTCGCTACGAAGTTATCCTGCCATGGCATTGGACACGAAGAGGAGAGATACGATTGCGAATCCAAGCCGAGCAGACACCATGAAACGTTGCGTCAGCATAATAGTTTGACATAAAGATAGACCGGCCGTAGGCATCCTGACATTGTACTAAGCTTGTATGCGAGGAAGTAGCGGCCAGTCGTTGCATTATTTCGCCCGTTGACGACCATGTACCAGCAAAGCGCTGATAACTGTGTCAAGTCTGCCCGCCAGTATTGCGCTGCTTCCTGCGCATTATGACCGTCTAATCCAGACTCAGAGGTCCCAGAAGCGGCATCGCCTGCACGCTCGGAGTCCGGAGCCTCGAAGATCGCCATTTCTATGTCTCCACGTGGGGACTTGATCCCACCGCAAGCAGCTGCGATGCGAAGATGATCAACATCGGCCTAGGAGCGGGGAACATTCCGGTGGTTTGGATAGTCGTTGAGTCGGATGCGGGGCTTAGAGCAGCCTCTGCTCTGAGGAACGAGCTGGCTTGGCTATATATGTTTCCCTCGGAAACGGGGGTAGAAGATGATAAACGGGGTCCTTTTGTGCGTTTGTCACACCGTCTCATTTTTGGTTTTGACAGCCGTCAGTGGTGAATCGTCGTTCAGCTTCGAAAGGGCTGATGTCGATGACACGGTATCGGCTGCGAAGTCGTCGTGAGAATCGCGTGGAATGACTCAGTCTTTGGGATATGATGGCAAGTCCGCTGAGTAATCTCACGAAGATTCGAGGAAGATCAGAATTGCCCTTGCAACCTCGAGGCCGCCTCAGATGATACAATATCAGTCGTACTAGGCTCCCTGTCCCGTGCCGACATGCGTGACGTTTTCTCATGGGCCTGATATAAGCATATCGTTAGACAATTGCAGGTTGAACACGACTGGTTTTGCTTCGATGCTTCTCTTGCACAAGTCTGAGTATCTTCTGCCTGCGATGCATCTGGTGGGGAGCCAGCGTGGTAGGACGGTCGTGGAGTGGTTCATCATGGTAGTATACATGAGACCGAATAAAGGAGTGTCAGGGCGGTCATCTTCGCACGAAACAGCCCGGTAATGTGCGCATATACCCGACGGTGAGCGAGGGTACATACTCTCGTTTATCCTGCCTGTGGGCATAGCGGCTTCGGCGGGCGCTTTCGAGCCGCGTTACAATGAGACGGCGATCGCGTTCTCTTTTAGCGAGGGCGTTGTCTAGACTGTAGTTTCTGGACTGGCTAGAGTCAGAATGGAGCGCGGAAACCGCTGGGAGGTTGCTACGTACATGATGGCAATCGGAGGTTAGATGAGGAGGGCCAGGCGCTCTCTAATCTACTGCAAACACTATACCGCAAACACTGAACTAGTACATGATACTCGTACAACGTCCACATCCCGGCGCGCGGGTCTGCCACTCATTACGTATGTGACAATTGCTTTGCGTCCCAGCTGGGGCGGTCTGCTTTGCTCTAGAGTCCCAAAGTATAAGTAGCGGTTCGGTCATCGGTTCTCTAGGAGGACGATTAACTCTTGAGCCCACGTCGTGAGTGCCTTGTCGTCAGAAAAGTCGTACACAAATTCCTTCTCGTCCTGCACCATCTTCAGCCCGCGTCCACCAGCAGATTGATTCACTGCCTGTACACTCACCGTCTGCAGAACCAGTTTCCGCTGTTCCCTCTCCATCCTGCACTTCCCCAGAACCTTCTCGCCCTTTACGGGGAGTTTATTGCCGGAGCGCATGGCGAAGATGAATGACTGCTTGGCCTCAGGTTTCTTCGACCATTTGTCAATATCTTCTAGGACAATGCACAAGACGCGTGGTACGCTGGTCAGGAGCAACGCGCACGAGCGTGGTTGCTTGGAAAGGCCACGACGTATTGGCGTCCGGACAGACGCGACTCTACGGACGGT